AGACCTTTCTAGTCCTTAGCCACAGGGATGGTTGCGGGCAGATCCCTTGGAATCTGAACGCTGTGAGTCAGAAGGAGCCTGACCTCAGCTCTGAATCAGAATAAGGAGGAAGTGAGGCCCGCTCTGGCTTGTTCCCACAGAGAGAGCACAGAGCATGTGCCAGTTTGTCAAGGAGGAGGAATGCACTGGGAGAAGAGATATGGGAATGTGCTGTGATGAACCTGCTAAGCAGAAGACTACGAGTGTCAAACCCCTCCCCACTGCACATCCACTTCTTCCTGGTCAGGAGGGAGAAAGGACCTGATGCAGGAAATAACCAAGCCCTCGTTTCCCATCAGCCCTTCTTTCCACTGCACTTCCCTTTCCCTTGACTAGTTAGGAGGAAGGACCCTGACTCAGGAAGAGATGAGGCACTTTTGGGAAGCAACCACAGCAGGGCTAATACTGAGCCCCCAAGAAGCCAGATGCAGAGAACAGCCCCCAGGAACTGTAGGCAGAGCCACGTGTGGAACAGGCTGCAACTGCCAGACATCACAGCCAGGTAGGGTTACCAATTTTGGTTGGATGTATTCCTGGAGGTTCCATCACACGACATAAGCTTTAATTAAGGATTAATCTTATACCTGGAGACTCCAGGACAATCCTGGAGAGTTGGCAACCCTTCAGCCAGGTGCAGGCCTGTGTGGGACATATGGGGGAGCAGCAGTAATGGGACAAGGTGCCCATGCAGCAGGGCCTCAAGGAGACACACCACTAAGTGTCCCTGGCCTGGAAACCTGCACACTCTTGCTTGCATAAAGACTGGAGTGGGCACCCCGAGCACTGGGCCTCAACAGCCCTGACTCTTGATTGCACTGCCCTGAGAAGCCCAGCCAGGAACCACTATGGCTTACTTCGAACTGTAGCTGTTTAAGGGTATTTAAGGGTATTTGCAGCCTTCCTCTTTCCTGCCAGCAGTAGTAAAATCCCTTTTCACTCACCCCTGTGTCCGAGTGGTTATTGGGATCCCCAGGGGCAGCACCTATAAGGCTTATCTGCCTATAAGCACCTACAGTGCTTGTCTGAGTCATGTTAGGGTTGCTAACCCTCCAGGATTGGCCTAGAGTCTCCAGGAATTAAAGATGATGTCATGGGATTAAATCTTCAGGAATACATCCAACCAAAATTGGCAACCCTTGTCGTGGTACACCTGGCACATTACTGGCACCTCAAGGGTTTGGTGAACACCAGCACTGAGTAGTCTTCATAATTACAGTGTCAAGGGAGAGGGGAGTGAGTGAAAACTCAGAGTTCAGATAACTAGATTGGGAGTGTTTTCCCAGAAGGTAGGGGCCCAAAGATTTCTGGCAGAGAGCCTGTGGGTTCTCTTCCCCGGCCTCACCCCTAAAAGACATTATTCAACAGCAGAGGTTCTCAAACTCTGTGGCATTTGTGGCAGGGCAAGCTAAGGGATGACTGGGGTGGGGGCCTAATTGAGGACATAGGGTGCAGCTGGGCAAGGGCTCAGAATGGAGGGGCTGCTGCTTCTTGCCTATACTACGTTCTGCTGCAGTAAAGCTCTGCTTTCACACAGCAGGGAGAGAGGGCCATGCAGTCAAGGTAGCTGGCTCCTCCTTGCCTTCCCTGAAGCCGAGCAGTCTGGGCACAGCAAGGTGGGTCTGGGCCAGGTGGGTAGAGGAGAGGAGAGAGAAGCTTCAGCAGAGCAGAGGCAGGACACCAAGAGGGGGGCAATAGAACTTCTGCTTCCCTCCACATAGGGGGTGCTAGCACCCAGCGGTGTGCTGAGTGCATAAGTGCAGACTCTGTGGGTGCTCTGGGGCTGGAGCACCCATGGGGAAAAATTGGTGGGTGCCAAGCTCCCCCCCCCGCCCCACCTCACCCCTGCCTCCTCCCCTGAGCGCACCACGTCCCCGCTTCTCCTCCTACCTCCCAGCGCCTGCCGCCACAAAACAGCTATTTTGTGGCATAACAAGCTTGGGAGGGACGGGGGGGGGGAGGCAGCGAAGAGGTGGGGACTTGGGGAAGAGGTTGGAATAGGGGCAGGGCAGGGACAGAATGAGGGCAGGGTCAGGGGCAGATGGGGGTTGAGCACCCACCAATGCCAGCAGAAGTGGGTGCCTACGCCTGAGTATCAATGAGTTTTCCTCAGTTTCCCTGACAGGGGGATCCCAAGGCCCAGTTTTCACAGGTTGCTCAAAACAATCTGCCACCCTAGGCAGAACGCAGTATGCCACCCCGTTCTACAACACTGCACCCTGCATGCATTAACTGTTCCTTAACATAGGCACCAGGAGTCAGGGGGTGAAAGTCCCAGCAAGGTGGGGAGCCCCTATACTTTGAGGCCTGGGGGTCTGTGAGTGAAGCCCTTCACATAGGAGAAAAATTTGAAAATAAGGGCACCAGGGAAAGTCTGGACCACACAGACTGGAACAAACTATGTTGCCAAACCTGGCTACAACCCTGGCTGCACCACACAACCCTGTGTGTGTGGTGTCCCTGACATGAGGCTGGGGGGAGGGGGCTCCATGCAATATATGGGTGGAACGATGAGGACAACAATACTGGAGACTGGACATGAGGTGATGAGGGGGGCCAGGATCTGGGAGGAGACAGGAACACAGGAGATAAGTGGGGTGGAGTTCAGGATGTGGTGGGGGAATGAGGATATGGGGGAAAGAGGCGGGGCTAGGAAAACAGGGAGCAAATCCTGGGACTGATTGGATGAGGAGATAGGACATGGGGGCAGATGGGGTATGATGCTAGAGAGGGAGGTGTTATAACATCTGGGACTACAAATTTACTCTAATTGTAAGCTCAATTGTAAAAAAATATATATATATGGTAGTTCAGATGTTATAATATAATCTATCGTAACAAATGTTGCTGGAAAGTAGGTCAAGTTGTTTTCGGTAATGAATGTAAAACAGGTGCAAGAGAACTAGGCAGACCGACTAAATTAATTCAAACAAAAAAGGCCACACAGATATAATTCAAGAACTATGTTAAAATCATGCTTGGTAAAATACAGAACACGTGGAACCTGAAATGAATGAACCAAAATTGGTGTCAGATCTTAGGCCTAAACGGTGGACAAAATAAATGAGGGGGACGTGCTATTCCATCCACCACTCCCTTAAAGAAAGAAACTATACAAGAGTAATTGAATAGTATTACTGCCACCAACACATCCTTCTGGAAAAAGGAGGATATACCAGTTTCCCTGTGTTAAATAAATAAACCCCTTGGTTCCTCAAGTGGCATTTAGTCCATGCAAAGGCAGAGCCTTTCATCACGATTTGTTTTGCGTTTGTTCCTAAACAAAAATCTGAATTTGTTTTCAGAACATTCCCCCTCCATCTCATAAAACGCTTTTGCATGTATTAATAACTTCCATTTTAGCTTCTCACCACATCAAAAGAGTATCCGATTCAGAGTAACAAGAGGAAAACACAGGCAGCTCTGAAAACATTGGTCTTATCCCCTGGATATTCCTGCTAATTTCTCCTCCCTTGCGGATACTCAGTGCCAGTTCAGATAGATTTTTCAGGCCGTGCTCTTCTCAAAGGTAAAATGTGACTGATCCAGCAAAACAAATGTGCTTGATACTTATCATTGTTTATAAACATCCAGACAATACCAGTCTGATTTTCTGAGGGGCTGAGTACCTGCAATTCCCACTAAAGTCAATAGCATCTGTGGGTGCCCAGCACTTCTGAAAACATAGCCACAGGTTTCACTGACATATGTGGGAAACAGTGGAATACAGTAGAGAAATACGTCTCATATTTTATCAGATAGACTTCAGGGACAGTCTAAGGCAAATTTTTACAGTATGCCTTCTGGGGCAGCTTGTCCCCCTTTTTTCTTTATAGCTATGTTAACAGTTTCCAGATGTGGCTAACATACCTTCTAAAAATGCCTTCCCAGCCATACACCCATACTAACTCAGCAAAAATAAATTGGAAAAACCATTATGAAACTAAAACAAAAATATGCAGATTAAATGGAATCAGTATCAATATTGTATTAGTACCATAGATTTAAGCAAAGGACATTCCTGGGGAACAGAGTATGGTTACAGCATCCTTAGCCACTGGAATGGCCTGAGGGCCATTGGCAGTTGGGTGTGTAACCCTTCTGCCGGGTGGAGTTGGCAGCAACCAGAGCTGGGTTCAATGCAAACACAGAACCGGCTTGAGACCCCCACCCAGTAACCTGGGAAAATTACACACTACTCCCTGGGTGCCTCTAAGCCCTGGTCTACACCACAAGTTTAGGTCGAATTTAGCAGCGTTAGATCGATTTAACCCTGCACCTGTCCACACGACGAAGCCATTTACTTCGACTTAAAGGGCTCTTAAAACCGATTTCTGTACTTCTCCCCCGACAAGGGAATTAGTGCTGAAATCAACCTTGCTGGGTCGAATTTGGGGTAGTGTGGTCGCAATTCAACAGTATTGGCCTCTGGGAGCTATCCCAGAGTGCTCCATTGTGACTGCTCTGGACAGCACTCTCAACTCAGATGCACTGGCCAGGTAGACAGGAAAAGGCCCGCACACTTTTGAATCTCATTTCCTGTTTGGCCAGCCTGGAAAGCTGCAGGTGAGTGCAGATCTCATCAGCAGAGGTGACCATGATGGAGTCCCAGAATTGCAAAAGAGCTCCAGCATGGACCGAACGGGAGGTATGGGATCTGATCACTGTATGAGGAGACGAATCCATGCTATCAGAACTCCGTTCCAAAAGACTAACTACCCAAACATTTGAAAAAATCTCCAAGGGCATGAAGGACAGAGGCTATAACAGGGCCCGCAGCAGTGCCACATGAAACTTAAGGAGCTCAGGCAAGCTTACCAAAAAACCAGAGAGGCAAACAGCCGCTCGGGGTCAGAGCTCCAGACATGCCGCTTCTATGATGAGCTGCATGCCATTCTAGGGGGTGCAGCCACCACTACCCCACCCCTGTGCTTTGACTCTGTCAATGGATTATCACGCAACAGGGATGTGCATTTTGGGGACGAGGAAGATGAGGAGGAGGAGGAGGTTGAAGATAGCGCACAGCAAGCAAGCAGAGAAACCATTTTCCCCGAGAGCCAGGAACTGTTTCTCACCCTGGACCTGCAGCCAGTACCCCCCGAACCCACCCAAGGTGGGCTTCCAAACCCACCAGGCAGAGAAGGGACCTCTGGTGAGTGTACTTTTGTAAATATAATACATGGTTTAAAAGCAAGCGTGTTCAATGATTAATTTGCGGCCAGTACAGCTACTGGAAAACTCTGTTAACATGTCTGGGGATGGAGAGGAAATCCTCCAGGGACATCTCCATGAAGCTCTCCTGGATGTACTCCCAAAGCCTTTGCAAACGGTTTCTGGGGAGGGCAGCCTTATTCCGTCCTCCATGGTAGGACACTTTATCATGTCAGGCCAGTAGCACTTAGTCTGGAGTCATTGCATAACAAAGCATGGCAGCGTATGGTCCCGGTGTTTGCTGACATTCAAGCAACATCCGTTCTTTATCTGTTATCCTCAGGAGAGTGATATCATTCATGGTCACCTGGTTGAAACAGGGTAATTTTATTAAGGGGACATTCAGAGGTGGCCCTTCCTGCTGGGCTGTTTGCCTGTGACTGAACAGAAATCATCCCTGCTGTTAGCCACACGGTGGGGGCAGGGGTGAAGCGATCATCCCAGAGAATTGGGTGTGGGCGGGGGGGTTTAGCTGGGTTTTTGCTGCACTTTAACCGAAAAACCGCAGCTCCTCCTTTTAAATTGCCAACCCATTTGAAATGGCCAACCCAACGGCTGTTTGGTATGGGAAATGGGGGTGCTACTGTTTGAAACCATTCCCACATGTTATGAAGGTTAAAGAAGCCAAAAGACTAAGGCTTACCATGGCTGCCTGCGAGCCGAATTCTGTTGCCCACTGGCCCTGCGTGTGTGATCTCTCACACCAAACCAGCAGACCTCAATATACGAGGCAAAATGAGACCTTGTACCGAATGCACATGTGCTATGTAATGTTAAGAGCAAGGTTCACCCTGAAAGAGGATACCCATTGTTCTCTAAAATGTGTCTTTTTAATTACTACTCTCCCTTTTTTTTCATCCCGCAGCTGCAAATGTTTCAACGCTCCCCCTATCATCTCCGTCCCAGAGGCTAGTGAAGATTAGAAGGCGAAAAAAAATGCACTCGCAATGAAATGTTCTGAGCTCATGCTGTCCTCCCGCACCGAAAGAGCCCAGCAGAATGCGTGGAGGAAGACAATGTTAGAGTCCAGGAAAGCACAATATGACCGTGAAGACAGGTGGCAGGTTGAAGATAATAAGTGGTGGGTTGAAGATGATAGGTGGCGTCAGCTTGCTGACAGAAGGCGGGCATCAATGCTGAGGCTACTGGAGGATGAAACTGATATGCTCCGGCATATGGTTGAGATGCAGGAAAGGCAGCATGAGCACAGCCCCCCGCTACAGCCCCCGTGTAACCAACCGCCCTCCTCCCCAAGTTCCATAGCCTCCTCACCCAAACGCCCAAGAATGAGGTGAGGGAGCCTTCGGGCACCCAACCACTCCACCCCAGAGGACTGCCCAAGCAACAGAAAGCTAGCATTCAATAAGTTTTAAAGTGCAGTGTGGCCTTGTCCTTCCCTCCTCCCTCACCCCTCCCGAGGCTACCTTGGCAGTTATCCCCCTAGTTGTGTGATGAATTAATAAAGAATGCATGAATTTGAAGCAACAATGACTTTATTGCCTCTGCAAGCGGTGATCAAAGGGGGAGGGGAGGGCAGTTAGCTTACAGGGAAGTAGAGTGAACCAAGGGGTGGGGTTTTCATCAAGGAGAAACAAACAGAACGTTCACACCGTAGCCTGGCCAGTCATGAAACTGGTTTTCAAGGCTTCTCTGATGCGTACCGCGCCCTCCTGTGCTCTTCTAACTGCCCTGGTGTCTGGCTGCACGTAACCAGCAGCCAGGTGATTTGCCTCAACCTCCCACCCCGCCATAAATGTCTGCCCCTTACTCTCACAGATATTGTGGAGCACACAGCAAGCAGTAATAACAGTGGGAATATTGGTTTCGCTGAGACCAGCCCACTTTTAAACGTCCAAATGCACATTCTACCACCATTCTGCACTTGCTCAGCCTGTAGTTGAACAGCTCCTGACCACTGTCCAGGCTGCCTGTGTACGGCTTCATGAGCCATGGCATTAAGGGGTAGGCTGGGTCCCCAAGGATACATATAGGCATTTCAACATCCCCAACGGTTATTTTCTGGTCTGGGAAGAAAGCCCCTTGCTGCAGCTGTTGAAACAGACCAGAGTTCCTGAAGATGCGAGCGTCATGTACCTTTCCTGGCCATCCCATGTTGATGTTGGTGAAACGTCCCTTGTGATCCACCAGTGCTTGCAGCACCATGGAAAAGTACCCCTTGTGGTTTATGTACTCACTGCCTTGGTGCTCCGGTGCCAAGATAGGGATATGGGTTCTGTCTATAGCCTCACCACAGTTAGGGAATCCCACTGCAGCAAAGCCATCCACTATGACCTGCAGATTTCCCAGAATCACGACCGTTGGTAGCAACAGTTCAGTGATTGCATTGGCTACTTGGATCACAGCAGCTCCCACAGTAGATTTGCACACTCCAAATTGATTCCCAACTGACCGGTAGCTGTCTGGCGTTGCAAGTTTCCACAGGGCTATCGCCACTCACTTGTGAACTGTGAGGGCTGCTCTCATCTTGGTATTCTGGCGCTTCAGGGCAGGGGAAAGCAAGTCAAAGTTCCATGAAAGTGCCCTTACGCATACAAAAGTTTTGCAGCCATTGGGAATCATCCCAGACCTGCAACACTGTGTGGTCCCACCAGTCTGTGCTTGTTTCCCGGGCCCAGAATCAGTGTTCCACGGCATGAACCTGCCCCGTTACCACCATGATGTCCACATTGCCGGGGCCTGTACTTTGAGAGAAGTCTGTGTCCATGTCCTCACTCTTCTCACCACGCTGCTGTCACTTTCTCGCCTGCCTTTGCAGGTTCTGGTCCTGCATATACTGCTGGATAATGCGCATGGTGTTTAGAACAGTCATAACTGTTAAGTGATAAGTGATCTGAGCGGGCTCCATGCTTGCCATGGTATGGCGTCTGCATGGGTAACCCAGGAAAAAAGGTGCGAAACAGTTGTCTGCCATTGCTTTCACGGAGGGAGGGGGGCCTGACAACATGTACCCAGAACCACCCGCGACAATGTTTTTGCCCCATCAGGCATTGGGTCTCAACCCACATTTCAATGTGCAGCAGAGACTGCGGGAACTGTGGAATAGCTACCCATAGTGGCAACGCTCCAGAAGTCAATGCTAGCCTCAGTACTGTGGATGTACTCCGCTGACTTAATGGTCTTAAGTGGGGAGACACACACTCCACTGTATAAAATAGATTTCTAAAATATCAACTTCTATAAATTCAAGCTAATTTTGTAGTGTAGACATAGCCTAAGAGATAACACTTCCTCTCACAAACACAGAGTCTGAGTGTAGAAAAGAATTTTTTTTAATAAAAAGGAGGAAAGTAACCCAGCATTAACTTGGGAAACCTCCACAAGCAGGATTCATGAGCATAAAACCATGAGCAAAACCTGCACCCCAGAGTCCATTGTGCAGTGTCTTTTTTTGCCTCAGGTTCTTATGTCCAGTAATCAGGAGTCCTTTTAACATGCCCCTTTCTTCTCCCTCCACTGCACCCCACTCAGTTGGGTCTTCACTGACCAAGAACAACAGAGTTCAGAGGTATATCTGCATAAGTTCACCTCCCACCCTGGGGCAGGCACCTTGCTTTCTCCACTGTCTGGGCGTTTGCTCTGGTGTCAGTTTCTTTGCTGGCCACATGCCACTCTGCCGGCCACTTGCTACTCTGCACTTGAAGATGTCTTGAGGTCCCACCACTTAACACAGCTCTCAGTGATTTCAGCTGTTAGTAGGGGAGCCTCACTGCTAGTGCAGGCTGGGCAGTCTTTCATCAGGGACACTGTCCCAAAGCAGGTCTAATGCTTAGACCTGATTATTGGTGATTTCAGTGCTATTGGTCTGCAACAAAAGACTCAATTGAGTCTTAATCATGCCCACTCAACCTAGATGGGCAGCTGTCTATGCAAACAAGGTCAGTTCATGAAGTCTTCTTCCGTATCTTATCATGAGATGTCAGGAGAGAGCTCATGCAGACCCTGCTTAAAAGTGTAAGTTAGAGCAGCCTTCAGGCTTCTCAGTCATGCAGTGGACTGCATTGGCCCCTGGCTTGGCTCAAGATCAGGGGAATTAAGGACTTCTGAAAAATCAAGCTAGGCACAAAGAATTTGGCGAGCACATAATTAATAGCTATTTCTGAAAATCTTGGTCTAAATATGGGGCACAGCCAGGATTGAATTCAATTTTCCTGGCTGTCATTCCTTTAACCACATGCCCATTTTTTTCTACTTGTATTGTCCTCACTACACATCTTCCAACTTCTACAGTGAATGAGGCATAGGCTCTATGGATATCAGTCTCATTCACTGCAGCCTGTGGAAAAAAAACAGTACGTGATTGTGAAATTACAACTATTGACATACATGGTTAGTCAATCCCTGTTGCCAAGAAACAGTTTTCGCTCTCATCTTTGGTTTCTGTCCCTTTGCTTTCAGCAAACTGTCTGTGCCTCTCTGCTTGTGCGAGGGAAATCCCTAACCCAAGGTCACTAGCTCTTCACCACATGGCCCTTGTGTTCCCATTCCCACTGCTAAGTACATACTGTGCAGGCTCACCTGAATTAGTCACCATCTTTTCTGCAGTTGCTCTGCAACACAAGGAGGTTTGACTATACCCAGAGTCAACCACAGCTGGCTCCTCTGCTAGTCCTCATTCAGTCCTCGCCCTTGGGACTGGTGAGACTTGGGTTCAATTCTACCACAGACTTCCTCTGTGAGCAAGTCATTTAGACTCTGTGGGCACATCTTCACAGGAATAAAAAACCCATGGCATTGAGCCTCAGAGCCTGTTTGTTTGGTTTGTCTGTTGCTAAGTATACTGAGGTTTTTGCATAATAAATCATAGAATAAAATCCCATTTTGCTTCCCTTGTACATAAATCTTAACTATTCTAGTTTGTCATATGACTTTCCCTCAGCATAAATTTCCTGTAGCCGAGTTGTGCCCCATGGCAGGGTTAGTATGTCCACCTACTTATTCTCCAGACAAACATACAACAGGTGAAACAAGAAGGAAATGTAAATGAGATCAAAAGACAGGTTCTAAAGGATGCATTAAACCATCTGGAATTCCTCAGAGCTGTCAATCACAAATACAAGACGTACACGAATTTTAAGTGGAATTTCTTGTTTCCCTCTCTTTTCAAGTTGGAACAAGTTCAGATGGACACTGAGAGAAGGTTCATTGTTCTGAGGGGCTAGGTCAGACACAGATTTCAAGGAAGCCCAGATACAAGCACTAAAGGTTGCAGCTTTTGTTTAAGGAGCTCTTGAGTAGATGACTCCCTATTTTCCCCTTGTTTCTTAACATACTTTAACTCGTGCTACATCTTGCTTTAAGTGAAGCAGAACAAATGTAGGAGAATCTGAAATTGGTGATTTGTTTGGCTTTTTCTTAGTTTTTTTTAAAAAAGAGACTTTCTTTGACAATAAGTAAAGGAGTTGTTGACTTGTTTGCTATTTGAGCCCTTGGCATCATGTTTGCAGCTCCAATAGAATGAACAGGACTGGAAATGTAAAGAAAATATACACACATCTTTGGCAGTCAAAGTCAAAACTGCAAGTAGAGGATCTGAGGAGTTCAATAAACTCATGGCAATATTTGCATACTGACAAGGAATGCTGAACTCCAATACCATTGTTTTTTCTCGCTGGTCAATAATATTAAAACAAGACTGACAAGAAAACCACAGGACCTTTTGGATAGGAAACATACTGAACAAGTTCAGACAATTGTTTTTGTTCTAGCCTTACATTCAATTGATGTTCACCAACATTCATTTCTGAGATGTATTTGTTTCCAGAGGACTATATTTATGAACGCACCTAGTACTCTGTACTTGGAATAACCTATGCAACAAGGGTGAGCTTTTTATAAGGGGGAAAAGAATTGCAGACTTTCGGGATAGGTAGAGGAGTTTAAGTAGTTTTTGAAGATTAGCTAAGAAAGGCCACTGTTTCATCACTGTCTACCTTTGATAGCATTTTTAGATATCTGGTGAGGTGCCCAGAGCCTGGGATAGGAGTTCTCTTTAAGTCAACATGCTGAAATCAAAAAATAAATAAAATTAAGGACTGGTGTTTGCACATGGCATTAGAAAATATTTCCCTGTGGTGGTGTGTCTTGAATGGTGATCAAACTTTGGAACTGGTGGAAAAAATCCCTTCATTTTATTAGCTCTGCAAATGTTCATTTCTCTAAAACAGACTTCAACACACACTTCTATCATAATAAAAACCATCATAGCCTACATTCTTGGCAATCTCTCTCAGCATAGGAAGTAACAATCTCAGGTATGCAAACCCTGAAAGTCTGTACTGGCCACACAAGTCCCTAAAACGCTTTTAAAGTACATAGTGTAAATCTAGATGAACTTTTCACTAGAAGACACACATATGCTTACTTCCTTTAAAGTAAGAAGCGCACTCATGCAAGACTTTTAGCCTTAAAATCCCATCTGCCCTACA